GGGTGGGAGGACTCTGCTGGCTGGGTCCCCTGACCTCCACAGACACAGAGTTGAGCACTTCCATCAGGAAATGTGGGCTTAGCCTGTGGAGCTGGGAAAACCCTGGCTAGCCTCATGTGTTTACAAGGGAAGCTGAGTCAGACCTGTCTATCTTCTAAAACACTCAGCTATTTCTAGAAAATCGTATCATCAAAACGGACTCTTTCCTCTTCCCAGGAAATCCCTGGCAGGCAGAGAGAAGAAGACAGAGACTGCCGTTTTTGAAGACTAAAACTGAAAACATCAGTGTCCATTTATGGATTCTGAAGGCCCCTCTCCCATTAAGATGACTCATTCTGCTAGCTTGTCCTAAAAGCCCCAGACAGGATGGGAGAGAATTTTGAGGTGGGATTAGCCATGGGAGGGAGCAGGATGCTGGAGAAGGAAGATTGAGGAGATGTGTTCAGATCCAAAAGGAGTTAGAGAAAGCTTGTGTCCCCAGAGAGCTGTGGATCCAGTTCCTATAGAAGCCCTCAACTGAGGACCAGAGTCACTCCTCCCTCCTTTCCCCCCGAACATGAAGGTTTTTGGACTTTTTCTGGGCAGCAGTCTATGAGCAATCTTCCCAGGCACCTGAAACAGAGAATTCTGAAGTACAGAGATGACCAAAGATGAACCGACACGATTCCATCCTGGCCTCTGCTGTGTACCTGACCCCACTGTAAAGACCAAGGTTAGAGGCAGAGCCAGGGTGACATTTCTAAAGTTCCTTGAAAGTGAGAAAGTATTAGTTGTGGCCCTCACTGTTCAGACAAGGAAACCAAGACTCAGGAAAGTTCAAATACACAAAGGGCCATACACTCCCCAACTTTCTCCTCCTGCCTTTCAGGGAGAGCCTGTCAAGGTTTATCAGGACAATGCTGACAGGCCCCCTTGTCTTGAGCTCCGCACTGCCTGCCTCCCCAGAATCTGCTCAGGCAAGCTTGGGAGGCAGCTTATCAGCTTTGGAAAGATCTGTCTTCCAGCTTAATACAGTTCCCAAATTTTAGAGTGAGAAGGGGCATCAAACGACCATAGTCTACTTTCTTGCTTCCTGTACTGAGCTGTCTATAGGTCCTCACCCCAGCCAGAGTTTATTCTACTCCTCTTCCACCTGCAAGCCTTCCCCACCCAAGCTAATGGACAGTCTGCCCTTATGCTTGGCTCCTTTCTTTCACATTCTGTATGTCATCTGCCAGAGAAACTTGTTGGTTCCCCTTTCATTCTATACACCCAAGTCACTTATACTTCCGTGTGTGTACTGCTGCAACTCTGGTCTGAGACCAACCAGCTCCTCTCAGGCTGGCCTTCTGCCAGGTCCCCAACAAACCAGCTACCCCTGTCCTCAGCAAGCAGCTTAGACTCTTGTGAGCTATTTTTATTGGTGTGTGTGTGTGTGTGTGTGTGTGTGTGTGTGTGTGTGTGGTGTAGATCAGAGCACAACTTGTGAGAGTCATTTTTCTCCTTTCTACCATATGGACCCTGGAGATCCTACTCAGGTGGTCAGGCTCAGTGACAAGCACCTTTTACTTGCTAAGCCATTTTGCCTGCTGAAAAGTCTCTTTAAAGAAAGCCTGTTAGATCATTTTACTCTTTTCCTCAGCACCTCCCAATGACCCTCTGTTTACCCCAGAAAGAAAAGCCACAGATGTAAAATGGTCCACGAGGTACTATGCCTTCCCTCCTCTTTCTGCTAGTCTTTCATTCCCTTTGCTTCCAGCTTCACTAGCTGTTCTGAAACATGCTTCCACGAGGACATAGATTATTTTCAGTTTTGTTCAAAAATGTATCCCCAGAGTTGGGCAGGTGGAGGACTGCCCTGTATGCCAGCTAACTTGGGCTACAGAGTGATACCTTGTCTTAGAAACAAAATGAGAAAAACTAGAAAACAAAACACAAATGTACTAGAAGGTACTCAGTAATTAAAAAAAGAAAAAAAGTTTTTGTTTAAGTCCTGGAGATGGAACCAAAAGCCTTGCTCATGTCTGGCAAGCCCTGTATGACTGTTCTAGGCCCCAGTTCCAATAACTACTTGGTAGTCAATTAAATGAGTAAGTGAATGGGACACACTATATAAGATTGTCAAGCTAAATCTTGCATTCAGAGGTTTATCCATTGGCTTTGGCTCTGCCCTGGCTCCCCATCCTAGCCTGTATATCCATCCTGTTTTCCAGAAAATCATCTTGTCGTCTATTATATGGTTTCTAACCTTTCCCCTCTTCTGCTTTAAAAAATGCTCATGCCGGGTGGGCAGTGGTGACACCCCCCCAATCCCAGCAGAAGTAGATGCAGAGGCAGAGGTGGGTGGATTTCTGTGAGTTTGAGGCCATCCTTGTCTACAGAGCAAGTTCCAGGACAGCCAGAGGTACACTGAGAAACCCTGTTTCAAACAAAGAAACAACAACAACAAAACCCTGAAACAAACAAAAAAGGCTCATGGTATTCAGCCAAATCTTTGTCCTCGATCCATTCTATTCCATAAAGACACAATCTGGCTGCCAGTCAGAGTTCAGCTTCTCACTCCTGGAGCTGAAGCCTGCACAAGTTCTGTGGGAGTGGGGTCTGCTGCTTCCCACATATCTAGCTCTATTGTTTTCCCTCCAACTCTCCCCCTTTGGGGAGGGCCCAAGGCAGCTAGTTGGATGGGACAGAGGGAGACTGAAGGGTCATTTGGGTCTCCAGCCAGGGAGCCAGGCCAATGTGTCATGGGAGTTTCCCACCCACGGCCCTACACCATGAGGTGTCCACTCAAGGACATCATGATCTCTCCTGGGCCTCAGGAAGGAGCCAGGAACAGGGAGCGTTCAGAAAGCCTTTCTGATTCGAGCCACCTCCCCCATCTCTGTCTAGGTTGTTCACATTCCGGAAGCACTGATGTGGCACTAAAGATTCCTGCAGCTCCAGCCTTGTCCCTTGGGGGCCCCCGGCGTCATTGCTGAGCCTGCTTTCTGGAATGCTTTTGGCATGAAGTGTCTTGGCAGGTGAGGAGAAGGCCTGTGCAGATGAAAACCACAGTCCAAGTCTAGGTTTTGGGGAGCCTCCCCACGTTCACCCCTCATCCTATCCATGACTTAGCTCCCAGGGTATTAAACAGACCACAGGAACTCAACCACCCCAAAACCCAAGAGGCCCAGCTCCTGCACAGATAGTGAGGTGCTCTGTCCCCTCTGTCCCTCATCTCATACCTAGATTTTCTACTAGGCTCAGCCTTCTCCTTGGTCTCCCCATTTCCTTCTACCCCTCAACAGCTGCCCCCTCCCTCTTCTTCCCCATTCCCTTCTTGGGCCTTGTGGAGACCAAGGGAGGGGCATTACCAGGAGAGGAAATTTCTCCAGCTCTGTGCCTGGCCAAGAGCATAACATGTAACGGATATTCCCTGGTGTGTGTTCAGAGCTCTGTTCAGCCACTCTCTAGCTCCAATGAGCCTACCTACCCCCACCAGCTGTGACTTTTCACAGACCTGGTTTCAAGTTTGTCCTCCCACAATGCAAATTAATATTTCAAATGTGTGTTTCTCTACAAAATGAGAGTAAATAATACTGAACTCAGATGCACCTAACAAAGCTATTGAGAGTCCTGGAGATGGAACCAAAAGCACTATGCATGAAGTACCTGATGCAGGAGGGTGCTACAAGCCTGGGGTGCTGGCACTGGCACAGGAGGGTAAGGAGTCATAATGAGACCTTATCCCCATAAAGAATTGGGGTTTGCAGCTCAGTGATATAATGTTTGCCTAGCATGGCTCCAAGTTTGATCCCAAGCATCAAAGATAAATTAAAATAAATGGTAGCCTCTATTATCTCCTAGGATGCACTTTTTTTCTTCATCTAAACTTCCCATCAGTTTCCTAACAATTTTCACTGAGTTCAATTTTTTTGTGCTCCCTTGTACTGCCTTCCCCCAGCCTGACCAAAAGCCAACTTGTCTGCCACAGTTCAGCACACCCAGCACTTGCTGCAGGCCCAAAGGCAAGAAAACAACCATCACAGCACACTCAAACGTGGGTTGTCCCAAGCTTGTGTTTTTCTCGTGTTTACTCAAGTTTAGCCCAGTCCTGAGACCTCAGGCACATCTGCTGTTACTCAAGCAGTATTTTTTTTGTGTGTGTGTAAATTGTCCTGTCTTAACCCCATACTGGCCCAGCCCTCCTGGTGTTGTCTCTAGGCTGTGACCTTTCTAAGTCTCTAAGTATAATGAGGGTGAGGGAGGCCCAAGTCGTCATCTAGCAGTGCCCCATTCTGGGAGGACAGGTGGGTTACATAGCTAGAAAACTGGAGTGAGCCAGAACTGGGAGATTAGGGGGTGAATACCAGAATAGGTCAGGAGCGGGGGTGGCAAGAGGACCTGCTCAGAACCGAAGCCAACTAGCTGCTTGCCAGCACTTTGTCCTCTGCCCTCCCGCTCATGGAGTCCCAGAGTCCAGCAGTTTCTCAATGGAACAGGCTGCAGGGACAGCTCTGCAGGGGGCTGAGGGGCTGGCCAGGGAGGTGGACATTCCAAACATTCTTTACTTTCTCCCAGAGTCGGGAGCTAGGGCCCAGCTAGAAGCTGTGCAGAGGAAAGGGAATCTCTTTAGAGGGAATAAAGGCTGTGGGAGAGTCTTCAGGCAGCAGGGGGCAGGGCACAGGCCAATGGGGGAGGGGAGCCAAATGAGGCAGGAGACCCTGGGGAAGGGAATCGAGCGGACAAATCCACCTGACCCATTTCTTCCTTGAGTACTAGGGAAGAAAAAAGAAACCCAGGACCCCAGGCCAAGGCTTTTCTTCCCAAATGGGCTGCTGCAGGTGGATGGGGTGTTTTGGGGGTTTTCATATTGTTGTATTCTTTTTCAGTGCTGGAGACTGAGAGTCACACTGAGAGCACCTCCAAAGTCCTTTGTCCTTTTTGATTAAACAGAACCTGTGTCCCCCTGTGGCAGCCCACGAGAAAAGTATCAGAAGGCTCAAACCTGTGAACCCAGGTTCCCAAAGAGAACAAGAGACTCAACATGCTAGTTTTAATGAGGTTTTTTTGGCCACAGATGAGGGAGAGTGGACAGCCTCTGCTGTGAAGGGACTGGTTACCCAATCCAGACAGTGCTCAAGACATAAATTTAAAAAAGCCCTCCCCTCTTGATTAGAGGGACATCATGGCCAAAAAGTTCTGTACATAAGCTTCAGTGGCACAGTGGCTTTCCCTTGAACACAGCATTCACATTACTAAAAGCAGCAAAATTCACTTAAAAAACAAAACAAAACAAAACAAAAAACCACCAGAATTGAGAATCACAAAAATAAATAAATCAGCACATTCTAGGTCCTGCTGGCCCAAGAAACAGAGACATCCGTAGTCTGGAGAGCAGGAGCAGCTTCAGGCTTGAGTCTCTGAGATCTAAGGTGAGTTCAGAGGCATCAGACCCACCGAGAAACAAACAGCAGCCGGAAGAGACTTTATAGGTCTTTGAGATGCACAGTGACTGACTCTGGGTGGCTCAGGTCTGGGAGACAGAAACCAGAGGCTGCTTCCTCTTTGAATAAGGGAGGAGAGGTTATTCCAGTCAACACCCCCAGGCTTGTCAGGGCGCACACTCTGGTGGTGGATGGGAACAGGAACTTGTGTGAAGATGCACCCTGACACTGGCAGAGAACAGGTGGGAAAATGTGCCATGGGTAACACTCACGGTAAAGGAGGTAGCACGGATTGGGTGCTCTTCAGGTCTCTGTGGCCCCACTAAAAACTTCTGGCAGCCTGGACTCCGTGGGCCCTTCACATTCCTTTCCACATCTGTGCTATTTACCTCCTCATCTTCCTGGTTCAATCAGGCTTTAGACATAGAGCCCTTGATGCACTCTACTCCCCCAGTGCCCCAGGAATCCTACCCAGGGTTCCTCTGCAAACCCTTTTAGAGCCTACCCCATACTGGGGCACAGTGGTCCTCAGCTCAGCTTTGAGCAGATTCCCAGGGCTTGCTTATAGGCTCCGGTCACCTCTTGGCAGTCTGTCAGAGAAAAGCAGCTCTCCCCGAGGGGTTCCTGCCACCATCGCCTCAGGCCTTGTGAGGGCGCCAGCTCAAGTCGCCTGAGGTTGTCCACAGACACACATCCCCTCAGTGGGGTTTCAGGAAGCCACTCGGGCAAGTCCAACTGGTCAAAGGACTCAGAGGACAGGATGCTGTCCTCGCTCACAGCCCCTGAGGGGCGGCTGGCCCGGGCTGCAGGATGACGGGAGGCCAATTGATCCAGGGAGCCAAAGGTGCTAGTAGTGGTGCCTTCTAAGGCTGTGCGGGAGAACTTGCCGTTGAGTTTGAGAATGCCCTTTCGGTGGAGAAGCCCTGAAGCTTCTGGAGACTTTTGCTCCACGGGGTCCCCACTCACAAACACATCACCAGTGTCCAAGAGTTCCCCAGACTCGCTGGGCTCTGGAGAAGAATAGTAACCAGACTCTCGCTGCCGAGACTTCTTGAGGATGCCCTTCCTCGGGAGCAGGGATACAGCAGGGGCACGTTGCCCTGGGGTATCAAGCACTGGACTGGGCTCCTGGGGGTCCTCCTGTTCCACCCCTGAGGAGGTAGAGGCCTTTTTCTTGAGAATGCCTTTTGGAAGCTTGAGGCTGCTCCTGCCGACACGAGGGGAGGTATCCTCAGCTGGGTCAACCTGCAGAGTCTGAGCCATGTCATTCTCCTTCCGGGACTTCTTAAGAGAATGCTGCCGTTCCAGCCCAGGCACAGTGCTTCCACCTCCCGGCACATGCTGCTTGAAGAAGCTACACACCTTGGCCCCATTTTCCAGGAGGGGCCGGGAGGAGCGCCGTAGCCAGTCGGCCATGGAGGCCCGACCAGAGTCACCGGCAGGGTGTCCACTCTCACGCAGAGCTTCCTGTTCCCCAATTCGGGTGGTGTAGCCCCAGTTGACCCACCAGTGACTGGCTACATCCTCCAGTGTGGCCCGACGGGTGGGATTCACCATCAACAGCCACCGGATCAGACCACAGGCATCTGGAAAACAAAGGCAGGGGGTTCAGTTTGGTAGCTGCAAGAACCAGCATCGGAGGTCCTCTGGTGCAGGCCTGTCTCACCTGAGTGCCAACACTGCTCATGCTTCTAGGTGAGACTAGTGTATTCCCTCCCTGGGCTCCACACAGATCCAGGCCCACTCCCCAGGCCAACTTCCCCAGACAGATTCAGCCAACTACCTCGGCCCACAAGCCCTCCCTCTCAGCCCTTGTTTCTATGTCAGTATTTTCCCTCTCTACTGAAATTCAGTTCTCTGAGGACAGGGACTGTATTTGAGGATAAAGCAAGAATCTCACATACTTCTTCCTGCTCTCTATATCACAGGTGAAAGGTCAGATTTCTTAGGATAAGGGGAAAAGACAATAATAAACAATACAGCCATAGCAAAGAGGATTAAGCTGGACCTTAGGAAGCACTTATACAACATGCTCACAATGGGGAAGGTTGCCCACTTCTTCAGAGGTCTTGGACTGGAGAGAACAGTGGGGTTTATCTTAGTCTCTCCTGAGTCATTGTAGACTGCCATCTTCTTTATCATCATTGTTCCTTCACTGTCTCAGAGTTCAATGACAGTGACAGTATACTCCAGCCTGGCCACAATTCCCACTCACCAGACGGCTTCGATGGCTCATGGTAAGCCCCACTGCTGATTTGCTTCACCAATGTTTTATGATCTTGCCCATCAAAGGGCATGGTGCCATGCACCAGGATGTATAGGAGAACGCCCAGAGACCAGCTGTCCACCTGAGAAAGAGTTGGGAGGGAGGGTGCTCATCAAAACATGTGCCTCAGACTGCAGAGAAGCCCTCTGTATCTCCACCACAATGGAAGACACAAAGGTCACATCTGAAAGCTTCCTCTTACCCTCTCTTGTAACTAGGGGAGAAGGTGCAGCAGAGGGGTCAGGAGCTCATAGGACGAGATACTGCCAGTCATTCCCTGGGAAGAACAGCCAAAATCATAGGAGCAGTGGCCAAGCCATTGCCATCATTCTTTGTCAAGGTGGAGTGGCTGGACTGAGTGCCAGAAGGTTATGAGAACTAGGGGACAAGAATGATACATGCTACCAGCAGACTTCAGTTCTTTGACAGCTTTGCTATTTCTGCCTCAAGGCTAGGCAAGTTGCTGCTTTGTAGGGGCTGAGTTTTGTGCTCTGAAGAAGGAAGCAACTAGCAAAGTAGCTCATCTACCCTGCATGCCCTGGATTCAGGGAGGCTGGCAGGAGGGGAAGAGCCCTTACCTCTGGGCCCACATAGGGCTTCCCATTGACAATCTCAGGTGAGGCATAGAGAGGGCTCCCACAGAATGTCTGCAGGAACCTGCCTTTGTGGTACAGATTGGAGAGTCCAAAGTCAGCAATCTATAGGGTTGAGACAAACATGGGTCATGCCAAAGGCTGGGTTGTTCTACAGCTCTTGACCATCTTTTCTCCATGCCCTGGGGAAAGCCAAGCCCTGGTGGAAGGAAAGGGACTCCCAACCTACATCTCAAAGCTCAGGTTCTGAATGACGGTGTCCTAAGGCTCTCAATAGGCAAGCAAGGCCCCTGACCCAGTAACCATGTGAAGCCTGAGCTGCCTGTCTGAGCAAAGGGTTCACCTCTGCCCACACCTGGGCAGGAGGCCAGGGTGGACCCACATGGCTAAGGGACAGAGGAGAGGAGAGGACAAAAGTCAGGGCTGTGATGGGATCTCCTCAAAGGACTCTGAGCTGTTTGATTTTAGGGGCCAGAGAGGTTCCAAGACCATGCTTTTCTTTCCCACCTATTCTCAGCTGGAAATAGAGGTCAAGATCCTGGGGCTACCTGACCCTTCACCCCATCAAAGGGTCATGTGCACAGGGTAGGAAGGGCCATTTATGAAACCCTGTATCCTTTGTTTATAGCTTTATTGGTGTCTTATCAAGCAGTTGCCAGGTGAGCCTATAATGATGTTGATGATTGGTCCTAACAAAGTCTGTGTGCTTCTCTAGCTTGTGTGAGCTTACTGGCTCTGGCCTCCCTTTCCTGTCAGCATCAAAGAAACCCCACCTGCTTCAGGAATTGGCTGGATAAGGGCTACTGATTAGTACCTCAGGACAGGTCAGCAACCACAGCAACCCTTGTCCTGTGTCGGGTAGATCTGAGGAAGGCCAGACTATGCCACCCTGCTGGTTGTTTACCAGGCGAGCCTGTCACCTCAGCCAGTTCTTGCCATCTTGCCCTCCCAGTCCTGAGGTTCTAGGTTATCCTTGGCATGAACTTCTGCTTGACATGAGAATCCAGTGGTTGCAGGAAACAGAAAGTGATACAAACAAGGAAAGAAGCTATTAGAGCATCTTGACTGTAGCAGATTAAACTGGGTGTACAGGTTTGTGCAAGCACACAAGCAAGAAGAACAAGGCTCAGTACCTGTTGGCCCCAAAGTTATGAGTAAAAATTGACCCTAGATTAGGCCCTTGTCACACTTGTGATGTCACTGGCCTGAGAGGCAGATCTCTATTCTAGCCCAACCTCTGCCAGTCACTAGTGGGGTGATATTCTGATGGCCCAGAGCCTCATCCATAAAGGAAGTGTGGGGTGCACGATGGCCGAGTGGGACCCACTAAGCACGTAGAGCTACTTGACTGGAGACAACAGTACAGAAAACCTAGGGTACACTAGGGAAGCTTTTGGAAACCACAAGTGGGGCTCACCTTGATATTCCCACTGGAGTCTAGAAGTATATTCTCCAGCTTGAGGTCACGGTGAACAATCCCGTTCTAGAAGAGGAAGGGCACTGAGTCAGGGAATATCACCAGGAAAGGGAGGGGAGAAATGGAATTAACAAAAAAGTGTGAGCACAGAGGTCTGAGCACAGGCACACTGGAATACATAAATCCAGTGACAGAGTTCAAGAAGTCACAGGCCTTTCCATGGTCAAGAGAACAAAGCCAGAGACACTGGCATTCCTTGGTCGGAGAGTCCAGAAGCCTTTCTGGTCTAAACCAGTCTCAGAGCCCCCCACCCCCACCCGACACACACACGCACACACAGAGAACACATCTAGGTCTGGTGGGCACTCACCTGGTGGCAGTAGTGCAGGGCAGAGACGATCTGGCGGAAGAAGTGCCTGGCATCCCGCTCACTCAGCCGTGGCCGTTCACTGATGTAATCGTACAGATCGCCACGGCTGGCATACTCCATGACGATCACGATCTTGCTGCTATTCTCAAACACTGGAGAGGGCAAGCAAGCACGTAAGGCCTCCCAGAGAACACAGTCTCTTCCATAGCCTCAAACCAGATAGAGCCTCCCTCTGGAATGTCTGCTACAGGACCACAGGACAGCAAACAAGGGCGGGAGAAGAGCTTTTGAAGGCTCAGGACCTTTTAGGAACAGCAAATCAAGACCTGAGGTCAGTGGCTAAGTTTAGGCCTTTGAAGCCTCTGCACACGCCCAGGAAGGCAGAGATATCACTGACAGAAACAAAAGGCAGGGCTTTTTGGTTGAGACCCTACACTTCTACATTTTACGAACCTTGATCAAATCTCTACTAGATCTGTCAGGGACAATGCAGAGTTGCCAGATGAACTTGTCGTCATCAAACCACTGCTTCCTCCCTTGAGAGTAGATGATAACAGCAACCTCACAGGACTCACGTGAGGAACAGGTAAGAAATCAGGTATGGTGCTCCTGGTCTGGCACCATATCTGATGCACCAGAAACAAGAATACACCCCCCCCCCCGCCATGGGTCCTATTAATGTACTCAGTGTCCTTGTGTATAATTCTAATAACTAAGACCTGCCTTGTGACTGTGACAGCTGAAACAGTTATCACTCTTGCCACCCCTGACTTCCCATTCAGAATACCCAGGCTATGGCCAGAGTGCATATGGCCTCAGACATGGAGGCAATCAATAAATAAGTGGTAGTTAATTGGCTGGCTTCTTGGCAGTCAGCCCACCCCAGTTAGCTCATCTCCATGTGTAGGAGGGGGCCCTCTCACCACTCCAGGCCGTGTCCTGGCTCCAGTCCTCTAGAAAAGCAGAAAATAACTGGCTCAGCAAACTGGCCCTTCATCTGGGGTCAGAACATGCTTGTCTATGGCATTGCATCTTTGTGTTAAACAGATCTTATGAGTTTGGCCTGCTTAGCCGACCCAGGGCCACTGCTGTCTAGCTTCTGAGAAGAAGCTAAGGGATGAATTCCCACTTCCAGATGTCAGCTGCAAAGCCAGAAGGTTTGTGGTGTTGTTTCCAGGTGATCAAGGCCCAGACTCTTAGGGGTGCCTGACTGAGACTCCTCACATGTATTTCTTATGCTAGGAAACTAAAGAGAAAGAACCAGCATGGTGCATTTGGGGGAACATTTAGATTACAAAGTTGGTCCTAGCACTCCTGCAGCCCAAAACATCTAAAGCTTATATCAAGATGAAGATGAATCTGGAGGAAGCCTTTTGACACGCAATATCAGTAATGTCCTGTGTCTGCACCATCAACACACACACACACACACACACACACACACACACACACACACCAAAAACCAAAACAAAATAAAAAACAACCAACCAACAAAAAAACAAAACAAAACAAAAAAATCCCAACCAAATCAACCAACCACAAAAATAAAAACAAACAAACAAACAAACAAACAAACAAACAAACCCCCGAGCATCAGGGCTCAGTTCTCAGCCCCAAGTAGAAACTATGTATAGAGAGAATTCATATACGTACAGAGAGAATTAATTCATATATGTACTGAGAGAATTCGTTCATGCACATGCATGTGGGGGCACGCACACATACTGCCAATCACCACACTTGGCCTGCCTGCTATTCCCAGAAAGAAGAAAAGAGAAATACAATTAGCCTTCTCAGCCGCTTGTCTATTCTCCTCATGGGACAGACTCAAGCCACAGGGTCATAACAGTAGCTTTGCCCTTTATCTTCCTATGAACCTGAGAGTAGAGACGTCTCTGTTCTTCTCACCAGGATTCTCCAGACAGAGAAACACTCCAGACAAAGCCACAGGCTCCCTTCCTTCTCTCCCTCCCTCCTCCTCTCCCTGAGATCCCATGTTACATAAGGACTCGAAACAGAGAGATGTATGTGGGAGGAAGTTCTTCCTTCTTCCCTCATCACACTCTCCTGTTCACTTTGTTGTCTGGGTCACAGGGAGGAGGGCAGCCAGAGTGATCAAGCCAGAACTGGTATCAGAGGAGAGGAGGCTGAGATACAAGAAGAGGCAGAATAAACCCATGCCGTAGAGATTCAGGGGCACAAGAAGCCTGGCTAACAGACAGAGATGAACAGCACCCACACACCTGAGACAGTTCAGCCTTCCCTGGGTTGCTAAGGATCTCATGGGGTTGGGAGGCAGTGCTATTGGGGAAAAACTCAATAACAATGACAAAAGGTTTGCAGTCTAGGATGAGGATGCTGCTCAATTTGCATTTCCCTAGAAAGTGTGAGATTCTAGGCAGGGCCCCAGCCATGCTATAAACATACAGACAAACCTACAGCGTTTCCACTTACAGAGGGCATTATCCAGTTGGAGTTTTGCAACCTTCCTGTGGTATACATGGGATTATGTCATTTTGTAAAGGAGGAACTAAGGCTAGAAGACTGTCTTATTGAGCTGTCTTGTGTCATGTGGCAGGGTTTTGGCTCCAGTTTTTGCAACTCTAAAGCCTTTATCATTCTTACTTCTTTTTTTAAATAGAACTTTATTTGTTTAAGTTATGTATTTAAAGGCATGGTCCTGTTATGCAGCTCAGGCTGGCCTTGAATTTATATTCCTCCTGTCCCAAACTCCTTGGGGCTGGAGTTAAAGGCCTGACAGTTGGGATTTTAGGCATGCACCATTGGGCTCATCTTTACTTCTTTGTGTTGGCAGTTCTGACTTATATACACACAGAGACAGACAGACAGACAGACAGACACACACACACACACACACACACACATTTCTGGCTCCCAGATTACACATACCCCACTACTGTACCTTCATGGATGGCAATGATGTGGGGGTGGTTGAGTGATGACATGATCTCAATCTCCCTCCTTATATGCAATAGATCCTGCTCATCTTTGATTTTGTCTTTCCGGATTGACTTGATGGCCACCTGGGAACAGAGGATGCAGGAGATTAAGGATAAAGAAAGATCTACCAAGGTTCAGGCATCCCTGAGGATGCTGCCTGAGTCCTGGCCCTGGTGCTCTGCTGGCGGCTGTAACACAAACCACAGAATGTACCAAAAGAAGTCACCTCCCTTCACCAGGGCAAATAATAAGAATCTAGAGATTGCCTTGTCTAGAAAAGGTTCTTGCGTGGGTCCAGTGCAGTCCATCCAGCAAGGAAGCAGCACTAACCAATAGCCTCATTTTCAAAGTCTCCAGATGGACAATAGAGGTAACAACCTATATCTGTGGGGGTTGATACATTAGGATTTACACATCGAACACACGCAGTGCACCCCAAGGACAAGGACCTGGCACACATTAGACAGTGACTAGCAACTTAGGCATCAGTAAATGCAGTCCTCACAACCATTCTGGGAAGTAGGTAAAGAAAGCATCCTCACTCTCACAGGCTGAATGGTTTTCTTAAAGTCACAGTCACTGATTAACACAACTGGCACTTGATTCTGAGGTTAGTCCTTTTTCTGTCCCACGCTCCAATTTGCTATAAACAAGCACTTGCTAGGCAAAAATTACAACCCAAATGCCTACCAACAGGTGAATGGATAGACAAAATCTGGTCTTAAGTCATCAGAAAAGGAATGGAATTCTGATGTATACAATAACAAGGCTGAAACCTAGAAAATATGCTCAATGAAATAAGCTAGCCTGTGATAAATATTATGTGATTTTATGAGGTACTAAAATAAACAACTCTAAAGACAGAAAATAGATAAAAAGCTACCAGGGGTATAGTGCTAAAGAGTGGCATGGGGGGTGTTATTACTTAATGGGTCCAGTGCTTCTATTTGGGATGATAAAAAGGTTTTAGAGGGCTGGAGAGATATCTCAGCAGTTAGGAGCACTGAGTGCTCTTCCAAAGGACCTGAGTTTGGATCCCAGAACACACACATTAGCTCACAACTGTCTGTAACTCTAGTTTCTCTAGTTCCAAGGTACCAGATGCCCTCTGTAGATGCACAAACATACATCCAGAGAAGACATCCATATATACTAAATAAAACTGTTTTCTTTTATATTGGAATGACTTACAACATTGCAGATGTTTAATATGCTAGTGAGTTATTTGCCATAGTAAAAAAAAAAAAAAATATATCACCAACCAACCAACCACCAACCACCACCCTCCACAGAGCAGTCTTAAAAGTCCTGGTAGATAAACAGTTCCTCTGAGACTTATCTGTAAAGGTAGAACATACAAGGATTAACCCCTCCAGCTGGTGTGTGGTGGGCTCAGGAAGGGTGGGTGCAGAGGAAACAGAGGAGCTACAGCTCAACACCTAAGAGCCTCCAACTCTCTGGTCCTCCAACTCTCTGTCATTCTCTAGTGGCTCTGTGACAAGGGACAGCCAGAGGGACTGATGGGAAACCATAAAGCCAGGACCCAGTACTCCTGGTTCTCAGGTTCTGTCCTAGGGGCTAGTCTTGCCCTTCTTAGAGCCTCAGTTGCCTTTCTGTGAAATAAACAGATTGAACTAAACAGTCTGAGGGGATTTCCCTCTCTGAGTCTGTGCAGGGGCCCTCAGAGGCTGTGAGGGTTGAGTGTCCCAGGCCAGTGAGTTCCTGGCAAGTTCTGGTCAAGGACACCAACAGAATGGTAAACACAAGACTTCCTCTTCACACAAGTAATGAGAAATATGAAGGCCCAGACTGAGGTAAACAGCTCCTCATTCAATTTCCCAGGAGGGCTGGCCTCCCCTCTGGATTCAAAAGGAGACAGAAAGAAAACCCCAGCTCAAGGGGCGGGGCCTCTAATCCAGCCTTTCACAGGCTCTGGAAGTAGACAATGGCTTCTGCTCTCTGGACAGCAGGCTCTTTCGGCTTGTGCTCCCCATCTGACAAGAATGCGGAATAGCCCTAATCCTGTCAGAGGAGTTGCTCACAATGCCCACAGCCCGATCACCCCGGCAACAGGCCAGGGATGGCGTGCCCTCAACCCCATCGTGCCCTAAAGCTGCATTGCTGAAAGGGGGCAGGCCCCATTCTCAGCCCTCCCCAGAAAAGGGCAGAGAGGACAATGGCAGATGGTCACCATGGAGCCTCATCCCTGAGAGGCCCAAAGCAGGGGCAGAGGGATGCTGCAGATGGGAGAATCTGTCTGCTGCAACATTCTGCTCTGACCCCACTCACCTCTCCCTACAGAGCTAGGCAGAAAAACAAAAACAAAAACAAAAACAAAAGAACTCCCTGGGCTTAGAACTGGGTGCAGTCCAGAGGACCAGGGCACAGGCTTTGAATATTCATTCAACTAGGAGATAACTCTCTCTTCTACGTTCAGTACAGAGCAATACTCCCACACACCTCTTCTCCATGCTACTTTTCTCACCCTGAAGAGGAGAATGTGTGGCCTGCTCTCTTCTCTAACTCCTTGTTCATAAACCAGACAATGAGTAAAGGGCTGTGAACTCTTTAGAGACAAAGGTCTGTAAACATATATTAGCAGGTAGTAAAAACAGCCATATGTAAATACACATCACTATCTGGACAACTAAAAATATCTAAGAGCTTAAAATGCACCTGGGCAAAGTCTAGGCAGAAGTTAGACACAGTCGTGTATGCACACGTGTATAGAATGCTAAGATGATGTCACAGGCTTGGGGACAGAGCTCTAAAGGCATAAAGGCCAAAGAAATGAGTTTCCTAAACAGATTTTGAGGGTGCTGGGAATATTTGGTATGGTTTGTGGGCACACAAGTAAAACCTTAAGATCCATTTCTTCTAACACTAGAAGGCTGGAATTCTAATTTCCCCATCCCCAGTTTCATTCTCCTGCTAGGCGTCAGAGGGGGGAAGGAGTAGGTTGGTGAACTCCCAGCTGTCTAGCACTTCCCAGGAAGGAAACAAGACATGTTATCAGTCCTCCATCAGTCCCTAAAAGACTGATTTATCACTGCCATGGTAGGGCTGGGCCACTCTTGCCAAACTCCCAGCCCTAGAAATATCACTCAAGACTGCAAAGCACCCTCCATACAGAAAGCCTTCACCACCTGTGCAGCAGCGAACACTCATTACAGCTATCTATCGGTTAAGTCCCTGGATGATCTTTGCCTGAAAGAACCAGCGACCAGATAAGGTTTCCCGCTCCTCTCTTCCCAGGCCTGGGTGGAGTCTACCTCAGTTACAAGAAATAATTTCTTGAGACCTTTGTTCTCACCTTCAAGGTAACTGGCAATCGCGCCTTAGGATAAAAATAAACTTGACTGAAGCCTAGGAAGACGGTACTAACAACAGACAGGTACCTAAACCCAAAGGGAGGATGGCCACAGGGAAAGGTCTTTGTCCTGATACAACTTTTAAAAATTTCTGTAAATTTATTAATTTTATGTGTATGTGTGTTTTGTTTGCATGTATAAGTATGTACACCATGTGTGTGCCTTGTGCCCAGGGAAATCAGAAGAGGCCATCAGATCCCCTGGAACTGGAGTTATGAATGGTTGTGAACCACAGTATGGGCACTGGGAATCAAAACTAGGTCCTCCGGAAGAGTGGCAAGTGCTTTTAACCACTTCAGTTCCTTGATACAATTGTTAATACTGCCCTTTTTATTGTTCAGATTACCCACATTTAATCAATTTATTATATGGCTAGCACACTCTGAGGCAGGAGAAGGGAAACCAGCCCAAGGATGAATCTGTGTATATGAACACACAGCCAACTGAGCGGGGCCTGGTGAACCTGATTCACACTTGTCTATCTCAAGCCATGCAACTCAAGGCACATAAAGCTAGGCTAATGTGGTCAACTGGGTTGTCTTATTTGCTTGTTGGATCAGATTTATTTATTTTTATTTTATACACATGGCTATTTTTATGTGCCATGTATATGATGCCCTCGAAAGAGGGCATTGGATTCCCTGAAATTGGAGTTACAGATGGTTCTGAGTGGTCAGCCACATGGGTGCTGGGAAACAAACCCAGGTCCTCTGCAAGAGCAGCAAAAATGCTCTTAACTGATGAGCCATCTCTCCACTCCTGGGCAGTCTAGTTTTAATATCCCTGTGGAAAGGCTTGGGGAGCACTCGGAGCGCCTTTCTTTACTTGGAAGAACATGGGAAACCACCCCAGGAGAAAACTTTCAGGTGTGGACGGTGAGGTTTTCAACTAGGACAGTGGGCTAGGAGGGGCAAAAAGAATATTCCAGGCAGATCAGGATGGATCTGTAAGTTCCCTTCCACACTCCAGCATTCTGTGTAGATTGAACTATCAGGAAGGTCCAAGGACTGTTAAGGTCCTGTCCAAGGACTGTCAAGGCCAGCATGCTTGACCATATTAACTGCCAGAGTAAGCTCATAAAGGCAACAAAGCTAATTCCCCAACCAGCAGTAAACACTTCAGAAAGGAAAACTGACTTCTCCAAAGCTCCTCCATGCACAGGACAGGACTACAATGGAGGAGAAGCTAGTACCTCAGAAGACAAAAGTTCCTTGGAGGTGTCCAGTCATGCCTCCCATCCCTAGAGAAGGGACTGCCCATATCTTACCATGGGCCACATTGTGTGTGCCATTCCTTCCCACTTAAAACATGCCCATTCTTTGCCAACACCCTGAGGAATTGGTGCTGAGGTTACATGGATAAATACCTCCTCTCTCCCAGAGCTCGGATTAGGAATGATCTGTATTTAGGTGATCAAAAAGCTTTAGAAGGAAAAAGAAAGGAAAGGGGGAGGGGGCAGGGATGCTGGCTTTGAGTGTTGGGAGAGATGGTACAAATTGGGCATCTCTGATCACAGCCAAGATCCTTGACTCCTCCCTGGCCTTTCATGGGAAGCAGGGAAGGAGCTGGAGGATGACCCACTTAGATAGTGCAGGAGAGGTCAGGCCAGGTATCCTTGGCTGAGGAGTGGGGATGTACCTGCCATTCTACCAAGAACTAGACTGGAGTCAGGCTCTGTGGGTAACTTGAGCCATCTCCCCCAGTCCCATAAAATGCCACCTCCTCCCTGTCTCCTTCTAGCCCACTCTGCCAGGTTCCTGAGCAAGGAGCTTCTCTGCCCAGCCCTTTTGTGTGGTTTGGCTGGAGCCCAAGGACAAGAGTCGCCTGCAGCCTCCCTCCTTGCTGCTGAGCAGGCAGGTGCAGGAGGAGCTGGGAGGGCAGCATCTTGCCCAACAAGCCTTTGGCAGCTGGCCAACAGGAGTACTTCTCTGAAGTCGGCTGAATGAGAGATGAGGGCTTTGAACAAAGCAGACACCATAGTGGTTCAACTCATGAAGACTGAGCACAACCCATGCTCCTTACTGTGGCAGGAAACGCCCAGGATAAGAGCCATCCCTAGGTCAAAGCTACCCTTAGTGGAGCAGTAAGCCCCATGTGTCTTAGACACTGCTAAGATTTTACAGATACTTTTTTATTTCATTCTAGGGGAAACCCAAGACACAGGATTTATAATCCCCATTTTACAGATAAGCACTCCGAGGAACAGAGAGGTAATGCATCTGGTAAGCAACAAGAAGTACACGTGGACACTTTGCAAGAATAAAGTATCATTCCTTCACTGAGGATCCTTCAACACAGTATTGAGAAGGGGAAGAAGGGGAAGGCTCCCAGTGACTTTTCCCACTCTAAACATTGCCTGGAGTGCTGGGAAGACAGCTGGAGCTAGCCAATGGGATGACAAAGCACTCAGAGGCAAGCCCAGGCTTATCTCAAAACTAGCTGCTAGACCAAGACTCAGCACTTGGTCATCCAAGGCCTATGGTGGACAAGTCTGGTGCTTATGCTGCAGGCCTGCCATTACCCAGCCAGAAGACAAGCTGCATTCCCTCTCTGGGCCTTGCTCCCTCATCTACCAAATGATGGAAGCAGATTATCTCCATCATTTCCCAATGTTTTGAAGCCCACTAAGCAACTGAAAAAAGAAGCAGAGTGGTAGGACCCCCCCCCCCCAGAACTACCCACCCTTCCTGCCTGTCATGACACCCCTTGACAGGGCTGAGTGAGCAGTCCATGCAGATCAGACCAAAGGCTTTGGTGAGACCCAGTCATGTGTTTTTCTTTTTAGGGAGAGGGGCTGGTCAGGGGAGCAAGGATATTCACAGGAGGAAATGTCATTTGGATACCAGGAATGCATCTGAGATCCAGAGCAAATATTTGTTTTTCCTCCGATGATGCTCTTGTGGAGTAGCCATTAGTCCCACCTATCTGTCCCTCCCCACAGATAATCCCACGGGACCCTGCTTAACCATCTCTCCAAGTAGAAGATGAGAAATGAGCTAGAAATGTGGTGAGAAATTCCAGATGGCAGTCACCCAGCAGGCTCTCCTGTGACCTGAGCTCCCACTGACCAGCTTTTGGGGGGGGGGCGGCTAAATAGCTCCAAGACCCTCTGCCCCACAGTTAAGATGGGGGGGATGAGGGCACTGCTCCAGGATTGAGAAATCATTAGCACAGCAGAGAGCTTGCTTTCCAAGAAAGAGGGGAGACCCTGAGAAAGCTCTCAACAGCAATCCTGGGTGGTCTGGTTGGGGAGTTTCAGAGCAGATTCTCCACATTTGCTGATCTTGGCTCCTTGCACACAGCAAGACACATGAACCTGGGAGTTCCTTCTGAATTCTCTCTGTTGTGATGTAAGAGCCACTGATTTACTTCATTCACTTCAGAATCAAGTGTGATCTGTGTATATGTGTGTGTGTAAGACAGTGACCTTAGTCAAGAGCTGATGGGAACTCTGGATTTTGATCTCAGTTTCTCAGCCACTCTTAGTTCCCTCAACCCACTCTTCCCACAATAAGAGACACAAGCCACGAGCAACTATTTTCTAGCTAAGCCCCCGATAAAGCCTGGGCCCAGTAGTCTCAAGCCTGAAGCCTCTGGGGCCCTGGCACTTTATAGAAAGAGAAAGAAAAGAAAGCCAGGAAGTACACGATTGCCCAAGAGCTGTAACCTGGCAGCAGGCAACTGGGGACTGTGCCAGGCCGTAGCAGGAAGAACATACTTGCTTCTATTGATGAGGCCATAATCCACTCCTTTCTCCAACATCCACTCTCCTTTACCAATGAAATGACTTCTTGAATTTCAAACCAGCTACTAGCTGCAAAAGCAAACAATTAGGGGAGGGGACCATTGCCATGGTAAATATGGCAACTATGTACACACACACACACACACACACACACACACACACACAACCAGCACGCAATGAATCTGGCAAAACATAATCCCTAAACCACTTGCTCTGAGGCTTGCTAAAATGTGAATTATAGACCTTCATAGTACACTCCCTTTGGTGAGAAATGAAAGAATTAGCATTTTATACAAGTACCCTGCTGGTGCCCAGGCCCACTGAACTGGGAGAACCACTACTGTGTAACTTTTGGTAAATCTGCTATTCTTTCAAGGAGCCTTTCCAGGTAGATCTACAATAGATCTCTCTATGATCAGGACCCATGTGCATTCACATTTATATCTTATTCACTCTTCCAAGCAGCTGGTGAGACAGGCTGTGTTCTCTCTATTTTTGCAGAAGGGGAAACAGAAAACAGAAATGAAGAAACTGGCTCAAAGTTACAGATTACTATGACGATCACACATGCATGAAATAAATCAAAAGGCCAAGTTCCCTAAAAGGCCTCACATCCAAAGACATGGTGAGAGACAGTGGACCTGGAACCAGAGCCTAGTTTTACATTTCCCAGAATCAACGCCTGTCACAACGAAACTGATTCAGCAGTTCAGGCTGGGAAGGCCCCAAGTGTCAAGTCAATTAACATCGATCTCCATACCCCTTCCATCTACTGAGATCTGGTGCTTTCAACTTCCTCCTCCCATTCCTACTGCGTTGAAGTTTGCTTCAGTCAAAATTCAAGTTAAGCCCTATCTTCTCAAACGACAGGCATCCACGAGCACTGTCCCTGAAAACGATGGACAGACACATCTAAAGCGTGCGCGCCTGGCAACTCAGCCGAGGGAGGACTCCGCAAGGGACGACGCACGGTGAGCTCCTGGGAGCCGGGCGCCGCGAGGGACACTCACCAAGCGTCCCGAGCTCTCTCGTGCCTTCTTCACCTTCCCGTAGGTGCCCTTGCCCAGGGTCTCCAGGAACTCGTAGCGGTGCCGCAGGTTGTGCTTGTGATGGTGCCGCTTCACTGCCTGCTTCTTCATCAGGGGTTTGGGTGACTTGATGAGCCCATCCGCCAGAGGCCGGGCGCGCTCCGTGGCCAGGGCGGAGGCCGAGGTAGCCTGGCCCGCGCGCCGGGGTAAGGCCATCGACTCCATGGTGCGGGGACGGCGAGATGGAGGGGATCGGGTGGCAGCAGCTCGCGGAGAGACGCGGGCTCTGAGGTCACAGCCGCACCCGAGCGCGCTAGAAAGCCCCGCGTTCCCAATAGCTATAAAACGTTTAGTTGGGGGTGGGGTGTGCTAGCCACGCCCCCGAGTCTCATTGGCCTGCTTGCCGGCGACTCGTGACCAAGGCCTCTCGCACTGGCTCATTGTCTACTGCCCCTCCTCCTCCCCTTGGCTAGGCGCGGAAAGGTGTGAATGGATCCCCGCCCACTGGGACCCGAAGGCCAGGAATGCGAGAACCAAGGCTGAACCGAATTACTATTGAAGTGCAAGTCCTTAAGTTTGAAGGCTCTCCGAATTGTTTTTGCCTCGGAGTTTAAAAAGCTCATCACATCTCAAGGATCTGCTCTCCTGTGTCCCTAAATCAGTAAGGAACTCCCTGGTCCTAGTGATGTTTAGCCAAAAGAACAGGATGCTGGGCATGAGATTTGGCTGCATTTGAGAGGCCTGGAAGGCTAGGTCCAGACGCCCTTCTTCTGTTTTAGAAAGTGAGAATACTTCTGTGAAAGGCCACACAGCTGGCAAGAAAGTCACACACCTAGGATTCAGTTGCTGGCCTTTAGGGAAGAGAACATAGGACAACAGAACTTCAAGATTCCAGCTATTCTAGGCAGGCAGCCTTCCCTTCCCTGCAGGACCTCATCTCCAGCTGTGTCTCCAGAACTTGCAGAGGATCAAAGAGGTCTACATCCTCAATTATCAAATAAAAAAGTATCTGCCCCCTTTCCCACTTCTGCTCACCTTTTGAATCTTTCCAGGGGAAATAACCTGTATCTCCAGGCTACCATGGAGCTCTCTGTAGCCAGAGAAGATCCACCAAGAACCAGACTTCTCTAAGTCTGGATGCTTTATGAACTATATAGCTGGTTTGGCTATCTATCTTCTGCCAGCCTCCCCTCCCCTTCTGAGTAGTCTGTGAAAACAGAAAAGGCCCAGAAAGACATTTCAACCAACCTGCTCTCCTGAATGACATCAGAACAGGAAGGAGCTCCTAGCCTAGATGAGAGGAAGGCTAGCTTGGTGCTTCCTAAAGACATGGCTTTTAAAGCTTACTGAAGGACCCCTGACCATTAGCTAGCTGCATCGACATTTCCTCGTCAGATAAAGAATCATTCAGAGGAACCCAAGATTCCCTTTAAGACTTAATCTAGACACTTATCACCATTTAAACACCCCCCAACACCCAGTGCACTGGTGAGCAGGTAAAGGTACCCAGTGGATTCATACAGGCCAAATAGGTGGATGTTCCATAGGCAAATAAGCAGACCTGACCCAGAAGACTGTGCCATCAGAACTACTGAGAGCTGGCTCAGCAGGTAAGAGCACTGGCTGCTCTTCCAGAGGGCCAGGGTTTGATTCCCAGCACCCCACAAGACGGCCCACAACAGCTGTAACTCCAGTTCCAAGGGATCTGGTGCTCTCTTCCGACCTCGAAGGACACCAGACATGCATGTGTTGGACAGACATACATACAGGCAAAATACCCATACACATAAAATAAATAAATCAACAACAGTTGTTTAAAGAGCTACTGAAAAGAACAACCAAGTGCGGGAACTCAGCTCCCATTCTGTATAGGGAGACTTGGGAGGTGGCTCAGTGACTTAAATATTGGGCTTGGATTTGGATGGGATTCTCTGGGATGCCTACGCTGAGCTGAACCACTCTCACTCAGTCCTGTCTGCCTCACACTCCAGTCCGCAGAGGAGACTCCTCTTCTCATCTGGTACTTCGTTGTTACTTCATAACTATAGTTTTGCTACTGTTATGAACCTTAATGTAAATATCTGATATGCACCCCCCCCTTGAAGAAAAGATCTTTTAACACAACCCACAGGTTGAGAACAACTGATTTAAAGACTCTTAAATAAGCCTTCTGTGTACTCACTGGGAATAAGTGTCCATTCCTGTCCTCCACCTCTCCACCGTCTGAATGTGTTGCATGCTGGGAGACTGGGTGGGCTGTGGAAGCACCTCAGAGTGAGCCGGTATGACATGTGTTATGTGCAGGAGCACATGTGAAAAGCAGCAAGGCAGTGGGGGGAAGCGGGGTAGGGGTGGGTAAGGCAGGTGTCCGGCACACCTTGGGGGATGTCTAATAATTAGTTTCCCACTCTTAGGAAGTTTTCTGCTTAAAAAGAGAAATAACATAAAAACACCATTTTCCCTATAATCTATGGCAGAAAAGTTGAGGGTCTTATCTGGCCCAGGAGTTTAGTGGTGGGTACTCATGGAAGCTGTTTGGGTTTTGAGGGGTAGATGAGACATAAATTAGTCTCAGGCATGAAATGGGGATGTAGGGAAAGGAGCAGAGAGAGCTAACTGACTTGTCCTCTGTGTGTCTAGAACCATAAGGAGTCTCCAGGACCCCAGGGTGTCTAGTCCCGGGGACTGTCAGTGCAGATGCTCAAACTTTTCTTCCTTTTTCTCAGGGAGAAGAGCCCAGTTCACCACCCACCTCCAGCCAGAGATGTTGGTCATTAAAAGCTCGGATGAGTTATGACCCACAGTCACCTTTTAGCCCCACTCTGTGGCAGACACTAAGGTCTGGATATGTGGACCTTGCCCTCTCAGGGACTGGTGGGATGGTGCGAACAGGAGCCAGCCTATTAGAACTGTTTCTCCAAAACGAGGAGGTGCAAATACAGAGCTGAATTAAACCCTGTGGTCTAGGAAATTGAGATATATGGCTCAAAGCTGCCCTCTTTTGGCCTTACTGAGTATAGCAGGGCTTGTGGCCTGACTGAAGCCATAACTCTCTGTGGTATGTCTAACTACCATTTGTTGAGTTGGCCTGAGTTCTAAGCATTCTAGATATATGTCACCAGCAAGGACGTAGTAGAGTTGGAGTAAATAAACATTTTCAGCCCCACTTCATGGCTATACTCCATACCTTGCTTTTCGGGGCTCAGATGGGTTCTGGAGAGACAAGATAAAGCTAGTGAGCTACAATCCAAAATTCCAGCAAGTCCTACAAGGATTGCTGTCAGCCTTAGCTGGCCTTAGCTGGCCTGTCCTGATGAACTCATGCCTCAGCAGGGACTAGCGTGTGTGCAGATGAGTAAGTTAAGACACAGAGAAATAAAGCGCCTGTCCCTACAGGGTCACACAGGTGGCACCAGACGTGGCAGTGTTTGCCATCCTGCTTTGGATGGGTAAGGAGTATGGTTTGCCCAGTCTCCTGATGTTCTGTGCTCATGTCTGAAGCATATCCTGTGTCTCTTTCATGAGCTTGCTTTGGGACCAAATGAGATATGAAGTTACCAGGTGAATGTGTCCTACCCGACTACTAGGTCCTGGCGGAGAGCCAAGTGTGCTGTGGGGAGGCTGTACAACAAGGACTTAACAGACACTTGAGCTGCGTTTGATCTGACCCAGGCCAGCGGACAGTGAAGATAAGCTCAGAGATAGTGAGTGATTGTTGAAACTGCCTGAGGCTTCAGAGCTATGTGGGCACACAGGAGGAGCTGGGGGACACAGGAGAAGGCTGTGGAGGAGGGAAAGGAAGGTTCTCTTAACTACCACCCGTGCTAAATTGTTTTGTTTTTCAAGACAGAGTTTCTCTGTGTAACAGTCTTAGCTATGCTTTGTAGACCAGGCTGGCCTCGAACTCACAGAGATCAACCTGCTTTTGCTGGGACTAAAGCTGTGTTCCACCATATGCTAATTTTTAAGCTCCAAAACAAGAGTGCTGGGAAATAGCATGTGGATGTCTTAGTTTTAAATTCTAGGGGCTCCAGTCAGTGTTTTGTGAAGGGATGCTCACAAAGATCTTCCTCCTTTTCTGTCCCTTGTCTCATGTCTTCTTCCTGATCTCTGAGGTTCTGTAGCTCCCCTTCTGTGGTATCACAAAACTGTGGTGTCTGTGCTTAAGGAGGGCTAAAAGGATTCCTTTAGTGGGCCCCTGAGATTCTGAGAACTTTCCACTGACTCCTTGTGTGGTTTCACTGCAGTAAATCACCCAGGGCTGTTGATGTGTTGAGATGGAGTGCAAGTCCATAAAAATAACCTCTGTCTTTCCAGGTGTTGACATTCCAATGCACACAACCTTAGTGCCCCTTCACTTAGATGCTAGGTGCATGGGTAGTTGATGCAAACGAGGCAGGTAGCATGATAGCCTGAGTAGGAGTCAGAGACAGAGCTTTTCTGTCTGCTGGCCACAAGACCTGGACCAGGTGACTGAGTCTCCCTAGGTCTAACTGGTCTAATGAAACCCTGACCTTGGAGGCGGTTTTATATAGAGTACTAGGCTCCCCAGCAGGTGGTGCATATGATCTAACTGGTCTAATGAAACCCTGACCTTGGAGGCGGTTTTATATAGAGTACTAGGCTCCCCAGCAGGTGGTGCATATGGTAAGGGGCACTGTGGCTCAGGCTTCATTTCACATATATGTCCCCCTTGAGAAAATAATAAAATATCTTCTTCCTGCTGGTCCTGCCTCCATTCAGGGGAGCAACATGAATGACTAGGAAATACAGAGAAGGGACAAGTACCCAGATTGGTGGCAGAGGGGGGGAAGTCTAGTGCCCCTCTGCCCCCGCCTTGTGCTTGGCTTCTGCTGCTAACACCAGCTCTTGGTGTCCCCAGCTGATCCTGGAATGTTAACCCCAAGCAAAGCACATTCTTTAGTCAGGTCAGCATCTCCTGGCCCTGGGTAAAGGAAGGGGGGAGCCAGCATTCTTCATGGCCCTGAATAACACCGGTACAGTCTGGTATGAGGGGGTTGCTACAGCAAGGTGGATTAGCAAGCTACTGTCACCAGAGGTCATAAAACTCTGACCTAAACTCCTACTAAAGTCCACAACAAAGATCTGAGGGAGCCCATCCATAAGCAAGGGGATTTGAAGTTCTACCCAGTTTCTGGCCTGGTCCTGTGTCCAGAGGCTGAGGAAGAAGATAAGAGGGAAAGCAGGCAGTGTAAGAATTTCCCTCACAGTCAGTGCTGTCTCTAGGCTTTTAATTTCTGACTTTAATTTGACTGTGCTATACATTTAATTCCCACCTGACAGGTTCTCTGGGA